ATTGACAACATGTCGTATTACTAAGAATACTAGGCCCGTAAAGGTTCCTTTTTCCTGGTTTTTTTGATTTTTTTTACAGCCTCTTGGTAAAACGACGCGTGTAATTGTTGAAAGGAGTGCCTACGATCCTGGTGTGTTCAGAATATTTTAGTAAACAGTTTAATCACGTGTCCTATGAACTGACTAGATATTTGCATGCATTCTGGAAGGCAGTAGAACAGGCAAGCGATTGGGGTTGATGACACGTGCAAACACGTGTAACTGTTTCCGACGTTCGCTTTGGTTAGTCATCGCTGTAGAATCCTGGAGAAATATCGGGAGGCAAAACAAGCACATCTATATAAAGCTTTTCTCGACCTATATCCACCGTCCCCATCTCCATCTGCCCACATCCCCCCACGTTCGCCAATGACGCCCCAGATGCGGGGAGCGGCATCGCTGCATCCGTTCTTTCCATTCTCCATCGCTGCCACGACCAGTGAGATCCGCACGAGGAGGGAGATGCATCAGGGAGGTTTCACGCTGCTCACCGGCGAAGCCCTCCGACGAGCGGCCAGACGAGCGGCAGACCCAGGCGAGGTGGATTTCGTCGGTGAGGCCCTGTTCCCTTCCTCCTCTTCTGCGCGATGGCGAGGTGGATTTCGTCAGTGAGGTCCTGTTCCCTTCCTCCTCTTCTGCGTGATCTGGCCCAGTGGTACGGAACCTCCCTGATTTGGCTTTCTTTTTGCACTCCACTATTCTCCGGCATGTCGTCGTTCGTCCTTTGGTTCCGTGACCTCTGCACCGAGGGGAGACTCTGGTCTTCCTACCTATAAACGTTTTGGTTCTTCTCAATGAAGACACGGCGACGAACTCCACCACGATGAACTGCTCACTTTTAGCTGAAATTCACCTTCCATCTCTATGTAATTCCTTTTATACTCTGACTGCACAACAGCTCTAGGTTCGAATTTACTCTCTCCCATAGGGTCGCCGGGATCCTGACGTTGCAAATTGCATTGCCTGACTGCCTTCTTGCTTAGATCTCTTCCTACAGATGCCTGATTCTTTTTGTTTAATGTGTTATGTGCAGGGTTATTGCCAGGAGTGGTCTTTTGGGTTTTGCGAGAACGGCGTGTCCAGGACTCCAGGTTAAAACCAGCCGCCCTCCGAGCAAGAGCACCATGTACCTCTACTACGAGGGCATGCCAGGTTTTCCACAAGCTTAGCCGCGAGTCATACGACTTCCTCCGCAGGAACTGTAACCACTTGTACTACGCTCTGCCATAATCTCCGCATCCCCAAGCTTCCAAGTAAGGGTAGGAGATTTAGCCTTTGTTCTTCTGATTAGCCACTGAACTAAGGTCTTCTTTATAAAAATTAGTCACTGGACTGTATTTGTAGGCACTGTGTGGTGGCGTTTGACACATCTTAATATCATGATTTACTATAGAAATGGCCACATATCTGTAGTATTTTTTTGTTCCCAAAACCAGAATTGGTCCAACTGTAATTTTCTTGTTACTTCTCAGAATTGAAGCTTGGTACCGATACTAGCTGCATACCAGTACCAGAAAAAAAAAATCTGATTTGGCCACACTCCATCCACTGGCTACATACTCGAAGTGGTTGTCTGGATAAATAAAATTAGCGCCCAGTTTTTCAAAGAACGTATTTTCATTTGATATTTTTTGGAAAATCCAATTTTACTTATAATTCACGTAATAAGTACGCGCAGAGTCTGTTTGGACTAGAAAATTGTAGTATCCATTGAAATTCGCCAGATAGACATACATGTTTCCACTTGAATCCAAGCAAACTATCATGTAAATTAGATAAATTGTACAATTTTTTGACTGAACCATGAATTTTTGTGATGGCTTACCTACTTTAAAAATTATAATTTATGGTCTTGACAATTGAGGTGAACATGGTCAAGTGCTGAGCAGTTTGGGGTCAGAGATTGACAATTGAGATTTCTTTTCACCAAAAAGAAAACTTTGTACCAATTATTCTTGTCTGTTTTCCACTCTGATGCTTTAGATGTTTAATGGTTTCATAGTCTTTTTGTCTATACAGTCAGTGTATTTGCTAATTGTCAAGTTTGTACAGGTTATGATCATTACCCTTCAACCGGGTTATTTGAAAGAACGTTTAATCCCTTGCTGAGCATAATTTGTGTAGGCAAAAGTAGCAATCTCATTTGTTTGTTCTATTGTCAGAATGACGGATGGTACATGGAAGTAGTAGTGCATGTCAATTCAGTTGGTAATATTGTTGTACTCTAAAGGAATTACCTTATTTTGTTTCATTCTATTCATGTAGGTGCTGTGTGTTTTGCACAAGATAATTACCGTGTAGCAGGTCATGTGCAGTTTTAAATTTATTTAGCACAAGTGTGCATGCACACACACACACATATAGAGTATAGATCTTTTTGATAGTGTGGCTGTTGTCCTTTATTTACCAGCTTAATATGATTGCTGCCTTGGTCTACTTTATTATTCATAAACGATGATAGGTAGCAATTTTCTTATTCAAGAATAGTTTTCTTTGCAAAGTTGTGTAGAAGAGCGTCATGCACATTTTTCAGAGAGTATTGACATCTGAGAGGGAGGTTCACAGCAAAAAAGAGAAGGGCTGCTTCTTATGCTTCCATGTCATTCTACCTTCAGTTTTGGTAAACAATGTGTGAGCCCAAATATTCAGATCCCAGTGAGCTTTCACATTTAGTTTGACGGAAGCATGTAAAAGTGCACCCAGCAATATATTTTGATGGCACTTGATTTAAAATTATTAAGTGCAGCTGATTGCATAAGATGGTACCTTATGGAAGAACCAAGCACTTAAAGTATATTAGTGTTAGCACTCAGAGTCAGGCAACTGTAAGAATTTGCTGGGTTTAGTTGGTGTTACCTTGTATAATAAGATGGATAAGGGTCGGAGTACTCGCCCAAGTATTTATTTTGATATTATAATTTATATATACGGCTCTGATATGCGATAGTGGCTTCCATTTTTAATACAATAGTTGATGTTACTTTTCTGGGATTAGATGGAAGAGGTGAACATTCACTTTATATAATATTCCCGTTCAAGTCCATAACTGATGGAAGAAGTCAGGGTTAACTCTATGTTTCAGGTCCCAAGCTTCAACAATTTATTTGTAATGACACAGTTGATCTTGGCTTCCTACTCTTAAGAGTTTATTTGCTCTAACAAGGTATAAAAGAGACACAGACAATCTGCACATATCCTAGCCTACCAGGGATGGATTAATGACTAACTGAGCTTTTTCCTGGCTTTGACTTCAGAGATTGTAGTTAACTCTGTGCCAGGAATATGTAGTTTGGGATTGGTTTTACTACTGAATATATATATAACTTTAGGGCAACTCTTATATTCACTTAGATATTTTAGCTAGCTGAAGAAAAGAAAAAATACTTTTTGAATGTGCTATGATTATGCCTGCCCAAGATAGGAAGGGTGATACTTTATTTCCTTTTTGTTTTGTTGAAATCTAATCTATCTTGGAAAATGCAACTTTTGATGTATATTTGTTTTACTATCTTTGTTTTTGTTTGAATATTGTGAATGAGCAGCATGAACACGGCGTCTAGAGGAGCACACATAGCAATGGAGTGATGATTGATGAATGATGCCTTCGTTTTCTAGATGGCAAAACTTGTATAAAACACAGTCAAATGTATGTACCCCAAAACAATCTGACTAGGCAAAAGTAAATGAGTATATCTTGATTGGTGCCGAACATACAAAATTGTGGATACAACAATGGAGCTCTGTGGAGCAAGTGAGCAACTAGCACTTGCTATTTACCAGTTTATATAGATGCCACCTTTAGAGGGCCACTAAATATACTAATTTCAGGTTTCAGCCCATTAAAGCAATGCAATAACTCTGTACCTCCTCTCTTGTACATTCTTATTTCTTTTTACATTACTATTCTCAAAATAGTGCAACGACGGGGTAACAAGATGATGAGTACGGTTACATGTACCGACCAAGTCGGCTTATTCATTCTCTTGACACTGCTGGATTTGTCTTGTAGTATGTGGCACTTACACAATTCTATATACTTGTTTCAAACCTTCAAAGATCATTTTTGTTTTGTAAATAGGCTTTATCCCAGTATTCTGGCATCACTTTAGTAGCAAGTAGATGTGTCTCTTTATCCCTGATTGCATTATGTATAAACTTTATGGATAATTAACCATACACGATTATTTGACACATTCTCAGAAAGACAGAGACATATCCGCACAAAACATACAACAATTTTGTTAGCTTATCAAGAAAAACAATTCCTAAGAAAATCAGTGAGGCGCGGCGTGCCGCCGCGCACTACTCGCTAGTATATAACACACCCGAAATGATCTCCGTTATACTAGTACATGTGGAGTTGCTGTCCAGTCCCTGCCAAACCCAATTGTCACTTTGCTAGCTCCAAAAAGGGTGCAGCTTTGCTTATTTTCCTCTCCTTCCCTATTTGCATCCTCCCCAAGCCCAGGCAGGCATGGCGCACCACGCGCCGTCCAACTCTCTCATACTCTTCCTGGTCCTCACTTCCATCCAAGACGGCAGAGGTGCGACGTCGCGTCCATCGCCGGCGCCGGCGGGATACGTGCCGGTTCGCGCCGTGGTGTACCGATCGGTGGCGCTCCCGGCCGCGACGGTAGCCGCCGCCGGGGACGAGGCGCCGGGCGGAGGAAGTTACGAGCCGTTCCAGCTGTGCATGGGGTGCCGGTGCTGCGCGGCGGCAGGGAGCGGCGGCGCGAGCAGCTCATGCGTGGACACGCGGTGCTGCTACGCCATCGACTGCAACGTCCCCGGCAAGCCCTTCGGCGTCTGCGCCTTCTCCCCCCGCACATGCGGCTGCGGCGCCGGCGCCGGCGCCGGCAACAACTGCACCGCCACCTAGGGACACCGATCAGCCTCGTCACCGTTCAGCCAACGATCGTCCTCATCAACCTGCTAGCTGTTTTCGACACGCTATTACTTTTACTTCAATTTGGAAAAAAGGTTATATGCCTACCAAATGGCACTGCAGATATAGCTCAAGATTTGTTTTTTATTTCCTTGTATTACTGATGTCAATTCTTTTGGGTACTGTCGAAATAATTTTGCTCGTCTCTAGAGAGTTGGCAGCTGTTGCATTTGACTCATTTTGCCCCCTTCTCTGCCGAACAAAAATTTCGTTGTTGACTCGTTGCAAAGCATCGCAAGATAGAGAGACAGGTACCAGTACCTAACCTTCACTTTCCAAAGCACTGACTCTTGCACGCACCAAAAAAAAAAGTTGCACTGACTATGACTGCACTCATGTGCCTATACGGGCATATATGAGTCACCCGTCAATAATTGTGCAATCGTGCATGGTCATTTGATGCCAAGTGGCACGACGAAATATGCACCAAATCTCCATCAATCAAATGCCAGTAAGCTCTGGCTAGCACTCAAGCCTCCCTCTGCTTTTTCCAATCAAAAATCAAATCTTTTCCTTCCCTTTATTCTCCAAAACGAAAATCATTGGGGAAATAAATTCGATTGGCACGCAAGGGAGAATGGCCAGTGCGATATATTCTTACGACAAACAAGTGATCTCCCGACACCACTACATCAGATGTGCGATATATTCTTACGACAAAGCGATACCTCCACATCAGATTTGGACTGGACGCTACCAGGTCCGTGGAGAATAAGAACCACACCGCGCAATCAAGGACAAGCAGTCGCAAGGCTTATTTTAGGCAAGAGTGGCAACGGATGAAAATTAGAGAGTTCATCAGAAATACATTTATCTGGCTAGGAGAAAAGAGCGCGGTACTCGGTGGCCTCATGAGCCATTTCTTCCATGCTTCTATCTTTTCTTTCAACGTCCAGGTCAAGCTTCTCCTTCATTTCCTTCTCTTTCACGTCAATCTGTTACAAGGCAAAATGACAAGCCTTATGTCAGAATCAACCAGAAAAGAAAACTGGATCAGATAATATCAACGGAACACCAAGGTCATTTTACCGCATCATATATTTCATCGTTTTTCTCAAAATCTCCTTTCTTCCTGGGGATGACGTGGATGTGGACATGGGCAACTGTTTGGCCAGCCTGAGGACCATCCTGATAAGTACAAATAGCTATAATTCAGCAGCTGCTCCTTCCGCCATTGATTATTGTGACTTTGTAAGGCAAAGGTGAACAAAGTAACCAAAGGCAAAACCACAGTAATCAAATGTAACTTGTTCCACAGCTAACACATTCTATTTTGTTGTGTACCACAACAGGAAAATCAATAAGGTGAACCCCTTTAAATTGTACTACCTCTGTTCCTAAATATAAGACGTTTTGGTAGTTCAAATTGAACTATCAAAACGTCTTATATTTGTGAACGGATGGAGTAGAAGCAAACTACATAAAATTTGGACGCTGAGCTATTCACCACATAGATATAGACTTTACCTGAATTGCGAATGTGATGGAAGAAGCTTCGTGGTACTGCTCGAGCTTTGCACCAACTTCTTTTGCAGTTACCCACAAATCACTAGTCTCATCAGAACTTAGATCAGCAAATCGTTTCACCTCGCGTTTGGGGCACACGAGGACATGTGTGTATTGTCAAGGTAAAATGGTATATACGATAAAACATGTGTTCTCGTCATATGAAACTTTAAAGCGTAATAGATGCTAAACTCCAAATGATAAATGTTGTGAACAGCTGAACGGCAGGACCAAAAAAACAATGGGGTATTACCTCAAGTAAAAGTTATATACCTGGAACTAACTGCTGCATACAACTCGATTATATTTTCATAAGAAGATGAAGATCAATTGGTTGGGATGACATGACATTTAATATTACTACTTTTAAAGAATTAATGACGGATGTTTCAACCGTTTTTTATAAGCCACTCACATACATGAAACCAGATTCTAGTATCGACATCCTTGATATCTCGATTTTATTTATATATCAATGCAAAAGACTATGAAAATATGCAGCAATATATTCTCCAATTAATAACAAAAATCAGTCATCCTTTTTTGTTAGAAGTGTTTGGACTGTATCCATGAGATTTAGCAGGCATAAACAAGCAAGTGAATCAAAGTAATCGATAGTATGACAAAACCAGGAGACCCCATCCAGGCATGTCCTCATTAGCACTCTCATAACTCTAAATCTCAGAAATGTCTTTGCCAAATCAAAGGATATGACCTGCAGAGTAAGATTGACATAGATAAATACAAAATAGCAGCCAGAAGTACAAAAGATACAAATCTAAAAATACAAATAGCTGTTGTACAAAATGGTAACAGAAACAAATCCACCATTCATGAACATGGTGACTTGTACGTAAGAGTCAAATGTGATTGAATGGAATGGATTTGCAATTGTCCAAACAGATAACTTAAACGGTAAGAACTACATAGGAAGGCACGAATGGGTAACTAAGAACTATAAAGGAAAGCATGCATTGCAGGATCCTGAGATTGAGGACTAGGAACCCTGAGCCGATAAAACAAAACAAGGCACCGTGAGAGGGATGCATAGCATCCTCTTAAGCAAAGAAAAAAGCTTGACTGCAGAGTACTTAGTCAAATGTTTAGGCTTCGGAAAAGGGGATCCATGTGCCCAAAAATACAGAATGAAACCCCGTGCCACTACTTGTTTTTCCCAGGTTAACGTTGATGCTAAATAACTGCAGAAGATCTCCATTCTCGAAGCTGGGCATAACTCCCCGAAATAAACGAAATTGGGATCTAATCTATCTAAGACGATCCAGCTAGCACCCCTTCATCATTTTGGATAGAAGTAGCGGCATGTGTTGCCAAGATGGTGGATTCAGACTCATTGTTGTAATACTTTGTAAGGTCCTGAGAATAATCAATAAAGTGGCCGTATGCATCTCCCAGATGCAGAGGCCGGGGTCATCCTCCTTTTCTAAAAAAAAAAAAATCTAAGACGATCCAGTGTGTTAAAGTTATTTACATGGTGGTCTGAACTCTGAAGAGTGAATTTCTCATCTATCATCTGGTCTACACAAAAAATCTTAAAATGTGTCATTAGCCGCATTCGCAAGGGCGGGCTAATTTTTCTAAGCATGTGTCACATGCTCACGTGCGATTCATCGAGATATGCGTGATGCTAAATCGGGAGCGGCAGACTGGCATTAAATAGTTACAGCAAACAAAACCCTAGAGGCCAGGCAAGGGGAAGGTGAGAAGAAGGCGTCGAGACTACCAGGGAGGAGGGGGCGGAGGTTGACCATGGCGTAGGAGAGGGGCGTGGCGTGGAGGACCTCCCTCGCGTCGATCTTGTACGGCCCGAACTTGTACTGCGGCGGCGGCTCCTCCATCCTCGAGGGCAGCTCGGAGGTGGGAGCGGGGAAGACGAGTAGGAGACGGAGCTGGGAAGCGGACGCAGGCAGCAAGGAGGCCGCGGCGGCGGGGCGATTTGGAAGACCGTAGAGGGCGGAGAGCGCAAGGAGCAGCAGCAGTACAGCCGGCCGAGAGCAAGAACAGCGAGTTTTATTTCTTTTGTTTTTTTAGAACAGCGAGTTTTTTTTTTTTTGAGGGAGGGAGTTTTTTTAGATGCATTGTCTCTTACTACCTCCATTCCTTTATATAAGACTCCCTCCATTCCTTTATATAAGGTGTATTTGTTTTTTGATAAAATTTCAAAATATAAGGTGCATTTCTTCTAAGTCTTCATAATTTCCTTGTTAGCCTTTAGAAAAAAGGAAAATATCTCTCTCCTGATAGCAAAAGAAGAAAAATATCTCTCTGTCGATTGCATGTATCTCATACTTTCCTCGACTAACTAATTTACTTGCCAAGGGTAATTTTGTCTTAACATGTCTATAATTCTGGCCTTGGTCATCGTGTTAAAAATAATACACCTTACACAAACGAATGGATGGAGTATTTATTAAGAGAGAATTCCTTATTTGGTCCTTTCTTAAATTTGCTTCCCTATTTGACCCGAAAAATATTATTCTTCCCTTTATGACACTACATCTTCATTTGTTCCTTATTTGACACCCTTTGTTTTGCCCACTAACATCATCAAGTGAGACATGAAAAGACGTTTTTGCCCCTCATGAAGATAGTTGATGTATACGTGCAGTTTTCTGATGTATTTATAATATTTAGTTAAGCTGATGTATGATGGTTTAGTAAAGGTGGTTAGCACTAATAAAGAATGTGGAGTCTTGAGTCAAAGTCTATGAGTCAGCATCGAGTGCTTAAACAGACAAGTGTGTTAGTTTTATTTTCTCAAGGATGATCTTAACAAATTAGTTTAGGGTTGGCCTCACTGATCATGGATTGTTTACCCTCTAAGTGGGAGAATACATTAAACTTGCACCAAGATGATAATCGTTAAGAAACCTCCATGCCATATCTTGCATTACCAAACCCATGAATCTCCCTTCATGGTCGCAACAAATAGTTGTCGGTGCTTCCTTTGCATCGCACAGATGAACTGCTGCATCTACATGGAGCTTGCGATAGCCCAATGTAGGTGGTGTCCACGTTCTCTTCCCCCTGTTCGTCACTGTAGGTCCCACTTTTGCCTTCTTCGGAATCAGGGACAGGTGATTAAAAAAATTCTGAACAGAAGTTATAGTGGCCATCGGGGACTAAAAGATATGTTCGTGAATAGCCTTCCTTCGTACCCACCACACTGAGCAGAGCATAACCAGTAGAGTAATGAACTCAATTTCCTTCATTGAATCTTTCATTTGCAAGAGCCAGATCCTAGCATCCAGACATCTGCATGATAACATGACATCAACTAGGTCATCATCAAGCAGTGACCAAATGCACTTAGACATAATACAATCAATTAAGGTGGGCCTCCAGTTGTGCTCAGCTGCCTTACATATAGGGCAAACACTAATTTCTGACATGTTTCTATGGGCTCGGACATCTTTTGTCAGAATTGAGTTTCTCGCCAACCTCCACAAAAATTCTTGATCTTGCCCGATGAGGGAGTCCTGGATTAGGGGGTCCTCGTCCAGACTACTGGATGTGGGTCGGACTGATGGGCCGTGAAGATACAAAGCAGAAGGCTTTCCCCCGTGTCTGGGTAGGACTCTCTTATGCATGGATAGCAAGATCGGTGTCCGGATATGTAATTTCCTTCTTCCTCGAACCGACTCTGTACAACCCTAGGCCCCTCCTGTGTGTATATAAACTGGAGGGTTTAGTCTGTAGAGGCTATCAGAATTCATACAGGCTAGACATCTAGGGTTTAGCCACTTCGATCTCGAGGTAGATCAACTCTTGTAACCCCTATACTCATCAAATACAATCAAGCAGGACGTAGGGTTTTACCTCCATTAAGAGGGCCTGAACCTGGGTAAACATCGTGTTCCCCCTGTCCCCTATTACCTTCGATCCTCAGACGCATAGTTTGGGACCCCCTACCCGAGATCGTCCGGTTTTGACACCGACATTGGTGCTTTCATCGAGAGTTCCTTTGTGTTGTCGATATAAGGATCGATGGCTCGCCTTGTCATTAATGATGACATTACTTCTGGAAGGACCCTAACTCCAAGACATGTCCTCCAGCTCGATGGTTTTACCATGGGCGCTCGCTCGGTCGTTAAGCCAATGGCGGCCCCCACAACCGCCAAACATCATCTCCGCATAGGCCTTGAACACTCCGAAAAGATGGACCTGGGAGATGTCTCATCCTTGAACGAACTGCTAGATCGCATCGCCGCCCTAGGGGTCGCAATAGACTATGATCGGCTTGGGCTTAAACCCGATCAGAGGGAGATCAAAAACCCACTGATCACCCATCTGGTAGCGGTTGTTGAGGAACAAGCCAATAATGCTTCTTCTCCTAAGTTAAGAACCAGCTATGTTCGGATTTCCGAGCCCTGCGAGCTGGATACCCATCCTCGGGGAGAGACTTCATGTCCTCCGAACATAGGATCAGGATTAATCCCGAAAGTCACCAGGACCCTCCTGATCTTGAACTAGTGACCTCAGAGATTCTTCACGCTCCGGCTTCAATCGTGGGTCAGGGGTGCTCATGACATTTCGAATTGTGGACTAAACATGAGCCCCTATGGTGGTTTTAAAAGTCATACCGAACATGCCGCCCTTCTACTTCTCATTTTCTTTTTGAGCGGCCGATAACTGAGCCTTTAAGCTCTCTATCTCTTCGGATTGTTCATCTTTTTCCTCCTCATGTTTTTTCTTCTTGGACGTGCTCATTGCGACCTTTTTCATTTCTGCCAGTTCGGCGGTGACGGCATTCAGCTGCATCTGGTTTGTCTTCAGCTCCAGGGATAGCGTAGTATTCTTCTCTTTGAGAACCTGCAGGTCATATCGATCCTTAAATCGGTTTGCTTCAGCGCTTCAAGTCTCGGGGGCTACTAGCATATGGCTATCAAAATTGCACAAACTTTTACCTGTATATCCTTTTAGAACAGCTGAGTGACTCCGGCAAGTCCGTCTCGAGCGGCCCGGATATATGCGTCCACGGAACTAAATGCGGTAAATTCCTGCTCGGAAAAGGCTAGAGCGCGCATGGCCTCTTTTAGTTGAAGGTGATTCATTATGCTCTCCACCTCGGAATTCGTGACGGATACGTCATTCGAATCCTCATGAGGCCGTGGAACCGACATTGCATCGGCCCTCATCCTAGTTGATGAGTCCGGCGCTGGATTGGCTGACATTTAGCTAGCAGGGCATTTTCCCACAGTCTGCCGTGTGCTTCTCCTAAATCAAGAATAAAAAGGGACTTTAGCGATCCAAACTCGTGCCCAGGCATGTATCAAGCAGACATACCTCTTGGAAGACTGTGAGGCCTCTACGGCGCTCCCGGTCTCCTTTCGTTTTGAACGATTACCCTGCGCAGGGGCCGCTCTCGAAGGGGTGCGGCCTGCCGCGTGCCGATCCTATAAAGTACGGTTTAGTATAAGGGATAAAGCCGCAAGTGGGGATTTCTTTTTTACTTACGATGGAGAAAGGATAGGGATGGGGGTAGTCTGATGTAATAGCCACATTCGAGTCATCAAGGCTCGCTTGATAAAATACCCCATCATCGAACTCTATGTATATATCCGGACCCTCGCAGAAACTAGGGTCTTCATCGCGATTGTGATCCTCTGGTTGTGGGGCAGGACAGTGAACGTCCTCAATCATCTTCCTCCATGACTGTTTTGTAACAACAAAAAACAACTGGATTAGCATGTCGTGATAGCAATAAAGCGACACAGGTAATCAAAATCCTACCCATTCAATGGGTTGTACATGGAGTAACCTTCCCGGTAGTTTAAGCGAAGGAAATCTTCCTTTTTGCCCTTGTACAAATCGATCAGGACCGTGGCCAGTTCGGTTGGGGTATCCGGACCCTTGCGTCTGTAACGAGACGCATCATCTTCTCCGTTGTAGCACCATAAGGGAGTTACTATGGAATGGAGGGGCTAGAGGCATCTTTTTATTGCAATGGGCATAACCTCAATTATCGAGAGCCCGGTATGGGCTAATAATCTAACCTTGCCGACCAACCTTTTTATTTCCGTGTTGTCCAAATCCTTGGGACTTCGGGGACGCGGTTGAGACACTTCTTCAAGGGAGCGCTGGAAAATTCGGGAAGGCCATGCCGAATTGAGTCCGACAGTGGGACGACATCCATGTAAAACCACTCTGTAGACCACTGTGGATATGTCTCTTTGGGAGTTCCAATGGGGTATCCGGATCTAGCTATACGCCATACTTTGGCACCGCCCACTTCAAATATGGAGCCTCTTCGATGGCGGGGGACAAGACAAAAAACTTTTTCCACAGTTTAGAATGGGCCTCAATGCCCAAGAACAGCTCGCAGAGGGCAACGAAACCTGAGATGTGCAGAATCGAACCTGGGGTGAGGTTGTGCAGCTGGATGCCGTAAAAATCCAATAGACCCCTGAGAAAGGGATGGATTGGAAAACCTAAGCCCCGCAAAAGGAATGGAACGAAGCACACTCTTTCCTCCCTATTGGGGTTGGGGAAATTTTCAGCCAACACATCGTTGCCTATTGAGGCCAATCCCGCTCGAACAGAGACTAGATCTGCGAGGGGAAGATATCCCTGCGTCTGGAGCCGACTCAGCTGAAGATGATGCACTGAGCAGCTCTGCCAATCGCCCTCTTGAGGGCCATGGGGGCGCGAAGAAGAGCCTGGGGCGCTGGCCATGTTTGGAAGTTTTTTTGTGGCTGATCTTGGTGTTTCTTCTGCGTGATGTGGATGGCACTTTGAGGATTCAATCTCTTTATATAGGCACCATCGCTGCATGGCCGGGTGTTTTCTTTTTAATAAAAAATGGTGGACCATTCGCATTCGCCCAGCGCGTGGAAAT